ACTGCTCCTGCGGCTCAGTGGTGCCCGTGCAGCTGAGCAGAGATGGCAGAAGCTTCTGTGGCTGATGTGTTACAGATGTGTCTGCAGGGAGGACTTTTCCTGTCCCTGTGATGCTTCCTATACAGAAGCCAGGCTCCGGTCGCAGGGGTGAGTAGTGTGTCCCTGCTGACCCCACAGGCTGAGCCCTGCTTTTTAGGCATCCATTCATGGGAAATGGAACTGTGTTGCTCTAAGGTCCTCCAAGGGGAAAGAACAAAGCTACAGGGCAGAAGAAACCCCATGAGCCATCTGAACACATGAGGGAAATGCTGAAGGAAATGCAGCAGGCAGGACAAGGTGGGTGCTTTCCCTCAGCCTTCACCTGAGGCCCAGCAGCCGAGGCTTTGGCGGCACATCTGGACACGCTGAGCCCGGCACAGCAGGAAGGGATCCATGACAGCCTCACTGCCCCGCTGCTGCTTCCACGCCCTGCAGGGCAGTTTCCCAGCCTGGCTTGGCTGCAGCTTCTCCCCAGCCTCTGCAGGAAGGCATTGGCCATCAGCTGACAGGCAGCCCAAACCGCACCACAGGCATGAGATGCCCTGCAATTTCCCATCTCCAGGCAAATCAGAAGGGGCATCTATATGGAGAAGGGAGAGCCCTGCCCTACCCAAAAAGTGGAAAGTGATTTCCTGAAGCTTAACCATGTCTTTGAGAGGCATTGCCTCCTGAAGGTGCCACCTCTCCAATGGGGAACAACCCAATCTGATCCAGCTCTCTCTTTTCTCCAGAAGCAGATGGAGAGGCTGTGCAGAAAAAAGCATTTCCTGGAGGAAGCGGTGGCTCATTGACAGCCGCTTCTGCAGGAAGGGAGGCGATGCCAGGCACAGTCACAGGAGGTAATTGCTGTGCCTCTAGGCCTGAGCCCAGCTGAGGCTTGAGCTGCCCTCTCTGCTGCTTGGCACTGTGGGCACAGCCCGGACAAGATGGGCACAGCTCAGAGGAATTGTTCCGAGCAGGCTCAGGGCACTCGGGTGCTGAGCTGTCCTGCTGGGCTCCTCTGTGGGAGACATGTCCCGAAACCTGGGAGCGGCTGCACGGGGTGCCCATGGTGGGGAAAGGGCAGGGGGGGAGATCAAGGCTCCAGTGTGTCCTGAGAGGGCCTGGTCATGTGCCCGTGTGCTGGGGCATTTGTCCCCGGGCAAAGACAGTTGGAGGGACAGAAGTAGGTAGAAAGGGAGGGAGAAAGGGCAGGTGGGATGGAGGGGGACAGGGGGATAGCTGTGGCACTGCCTGCTGCAGTTTTCCCCAGGGATTTAGCTAAAGTTGCAGCTGTGGAAGTGAGAGCTCCCAGGGCTCGGGGTTGCTTCAGCCGCCCCACCATGGATGTTGCACAGGGCATGGAAAGAGGGTGCAGAGTGACCAGGAGCCTGCCCAGAGCTCCTGAGGCCTTTGTGCTGTTTTACCTTGTCCATTCAGTCCTGGCTCCCGTAGCCTTAACCAACCCCCTTGCAGTGCCCAGTTCCCAAAGGCAGAAGGGGTTCCTTACACACCCTGAAAAATGTTCTCATCTGTGCTCCATTCTAGATGAGGTTGCTGCAAAGGCTTCTCCTTTAGACTGGTTGAATAAAGTTTTGAAGCCTTTGGAGCCTCCTTCAGGTATGTTCTCACTGTCCTACACAGTAATAATTGTTTACAACTTCACAGCAACCAGGTTACACAAGCTACTGTGGCTGTTGTGTTACAGATGTGTCTGCAGGGAGGACTTTTCCTGCCCCTCTGCTGATTCCTACAGAGAAGCCGGGCTCCAATCGCTGGGGTGAGTAGTGTTGTCCCTGCTGACCCCACAGGCTGAGCCCTGCTTTTGTGGCATCCATTCCTAGGAAATGGAACTACTTTCTGTTAAGGTCCTCTGAGAGGGAAGAACAAAACCCCAGGACACAAGAAGCCCCATGAGCTAAACAACATCCTGGAACGAATGGTGACAGAACTGCCCAAAGGGAATGGTGAGAGCATTTCCCTCAGCCTTGTCCTGGTGCTCAGCAGCCGAGGGCTCTGGCTGCACATCTGGACACACCATGCCTGGCACAGCGGGAAGGGATCCATGGCAGCCTCACTGCCCCGCTGCTGCTTCCATGCCCTGCAGGGCTGTTTCCCAGCCTGGCCTGGCTGCAGCTTCTCCCCAGCCTCTGCAGGAAGGCATTGGCCATCAGCTGCCACACACCCCAAACTCAGCAGGGATCTCCTGCATTTTCCTGGTCCCCAGTAACATCCTGAGGTGTGGCTGCTTGGAGGAGGGAGGGCCATAGCCAGCCCCAAAGGCCTGGGGGATCAGGATTTTCTGGATCCTTATCCATGTTTTGGAGAAATATTGCCTCATGAAGAGGCCACCTCCTGGATGTGCAATGATTCCATCTGATCCAGCTGTGCCTCTTCCTTTCTCAAGGGATGGACAGAGAGGCTCTATGGAAAGTGGCATTTCCTGCAGGAAGGGAGGCGATGCCAGGCACAGCCACAGGAGGTAATTGCTGTGCCTCTGGGCCTGAGCCCAGCTGAGGCTTGAGCTGCCCTCTCTGCTGCTTGGCACTGAGGGCACGTCCCGGACAAGATGGGCACAGCCCAGAGGAATTATCCCGAGCAGGCTCAGGGCACTCGGGTGCTGGACTGTCCTGCTGGGCTCCTCTGTGGGAGACACGTCCCGAAACCTGGGAGCGGCTGCGTGGGATGCCCATGGTGGGGAAAGGGCAGAGGCGGAGATCAAGGCTCCAGTGTGTCCTGAGAGGGCCTGGTCATGTGCCCGTGTGCTGTGGGAGGTGTTCCTTGGGCAGGTGGGCAAGCAGGAGGGACGGGCGGACGTTGGGAGAGACAGCTGTGGCACTGCAGATTTCCCCAAGCATTTAGTGAGGTTTTCCTGTGTGGGAGGGAGAGAGAGCCCCAGGGCCCTGGGCTGCTCCAGCTTCCCCCCAGGCATGTTGCACAGGACCTGCAAAGAGCGTGGAGAGTGACCAGGAGGCACAGGCTCCCACAGCCTTACCGCACCCCCTTGCAGTGCCCAATTCCCCTTGGCAGAAGGGGATCCCAGCACACCATGGAAATGGTTCTGTAGGATCTGTGCTCCTTTCTCGACTGGCACGTGACTTGGATTACTTGGAAATGCTGGTGAATGGTACTTTGAAGACCTTGCCAGATGTTGGAGGCATGTTCTGAATGTACCTGACAGAATAATCCGTGGCAGTGTGGCAAGAGCTTACTCATGAGCCAGTTCCCTTAAATTTCACTGAAGGCTGATCAGTTCTGGAAACCTTGCCCTGCTCCCTTCTGGAGCCCTGAAGGATTCTACAGGATCGCTGTCAGTGGGTGGAAGGGACATTTAGCTGTCCATCCTCCTCCCGTGTGCAATGCCACTGTGTCCTTCTCTGTGCTCTGTGCAGCCACAGAGAAGAGCAGAGAGGGAAGGGGCTGGGCCCAGGGCAGTGACCTGGGGCTGAGCCTTGTCTCAGCTCCTTTGCTACCCCCAGGGAGGCTGAGCTGCTTCTGTTGCCACTGCCAAGCCCTGGCCCTGCCTGGGGCCGGGTTTGGAGCTGCTGGCAGCTCCAGGGAGTCCATTCTGTTCCGACTGCCCCACAAGGGGCTCCTTCCATCCCAGTGTGGGCCCACTTCATTCATGAGGTCCCCCTGGCCCTGCTCCTGAGTGGAAGGCAGAGCCAAGGGAGTGCTTTGGAGGGCACCAATCACCCAGGGGCCCTCACTGCCACTCAGGCCTGAAGGAGAATCTTCAGCAGTGCCATTGGAGCTGTTGTGTCCTGCCTTTCTTTGCAGTGGAGCCTGTTGGTAAAGGTGATCTGGCTTCCCAGCCCACGTTCAGGATTGAGCCTCTGGGAGATGGTGAGGGTAGGTCAAGGCCTTTCCCCTGGTAGACCTGCCAGCTCAGAGCCCAAAGCTCGACCAGGGGGGCATCGCTGCAGGTGCCAAGACAGAGCCATGCACGTGTGTGGCCTCGCCCTGCACGATCCACTCACAACATCTGCTCAGCACTGGCAGCTGTTTGGAGGAGCGTGGGCCCTGGCCCAGCTGAAAAAGCCCAGATGAATTGTTGATTTTACCTGATTTTGCATAAGCATGAGGTCCTGAACATGCCATCAAAGTTGTGGAGAATTGTTCCGTCTGTTAAGGTGTACTTTTTGTTTCTCAAGTGATGGGCCAAAAGTCAGGACAGAAGGAGGTGTTTCCATAACGAAGCAGAGGCCGATTGGCAGCCCCTGCTGCAGGAAGGAAGGCCAAGCCAGACACAGGCATGGACACGGGCACAGGCTCAGAAGGTAATTGCTGTGCCAGGCTCAGCGGGCTCAGCCATTGGCAGGGCTGCGTAGCTGCAGCTCTTCCACTGGGGCCTGCCCTTGCACGGCCCGGCCGCAGCCAAAGCTGAGGGTGCCTTTGGAGCTCGTTCACAGCCCCGGGGAAAGGTGACTCAAGCACCAATGTCCCTCCCACTGCAGCTGCTCCAGGGCTGGCCTTGAGTGCCCAGAGGCCAAAGGCACAGGAGCAACCCTGAGCGGGAGCCCTGCTGCGAGCCCAGGGCCAGAGCCAGCCTTGGCTCCCGACTGGGCAGGGGCTGCACTGGGTCCTGACAGAGCCTGACTCTGTGCCCTGGGGCTGGGGGAGCTGTCACGGGGCAGGGAGGGCCAGGGCTGGCAGTGCCTGCTCAGGGATGTGTTTGGCCCGTGGCCCTCCAAGCAGCGACTGCCCAAGAAGCGGCACAGCCCCCGGGCTCTCCTCCCGGCCTGCTGGGCTTTGTTGGGTGGCACAGCCTGTGCCAAGGGGCGGCAAGGTGCCTGCAGGCCCCAGCTCCAGGGGAAATGGAGAATGTCCTGCCCGCATCCACCGTGCTGCCAGCTCAGCATTGCAGCACAGCACGGGCTGACACTCCCCATTGCTCCCACAGGCACAGCTGGACCCACAGCACATATTCCTGATAACCAGAAGGGCCCTGGAGGGGGTTTCTGTAAGGGAACAGGCTTCTGGCTAGGGTTACTGGCAGGCCTGCTTGTCTTGGAGCTTATCTTCATCTTATGCTCTGTCCGAATTTGGACTTGCTGGAACGGAAAAGGGTGAGTGTTTAGTTCACCTTTCCCTCAAACAGCTTCTTTTGAAAGTTTACTTCAGACAGGAAACATTCCCAGTGAGGCTGCAGTGCAGGTGTGGCCAGTCCATGATTGTCCAAAGAACTCTGCTGAGGGTTCTGCTGCTGCCCAGAGCTT